ACCACTCTAGTAGGTTTAGGTTGCAGATAAATTAGATAAAATTAGATAATAATTTTGTTTATAGTCTAAGTCTCATTTTTGTAAAAAATTTGTAAATTGGCTTTGGCCTGTGTCAACTCTTGTAGTTGCTCAAAACAAATTAATAAATAAAGATAAAGGCAAAACCTCACCTTAATACCAAAAAAAAAAAATTATTATTTCATTAATCTAATAAAAAATCCTATAAAAAAAAAGCCAAATATTAGCCAAATATACAAATTAATTTTATTGGGTTATCAATTTTTATATCTAAAATTTCTTTTTTACTATTGTTATTTATCACAACTATAATATTATTAATGTTTGCATTTTTGTATTCAAATTATGCTCTGTGATTGTATATCTAAATGCATGTGCATATTAGTTGATCTATACGCATAATAAATTCATATATGAAAAATAATATATAATGAATTAATATATGAAAAATAATTGTAATTTGCTGAATAAATTATGCAAACTAATCAAACTTAAGATTTTGATAACAGATACTACTTATTGTTCTATATAAACTATTTACTTAATAATTTTATTACTCTGTTCCTAGTACTCTCTAACTCTATAATAACTAAACTACAAAAGATCTATTAACACATTAAAAACCATTTTAAAAATTAACTAAACACAATCTATATAATCTAGATCTTTGGAAACAATAGAAAAATAAATATAATTCCAAAATAAATATACTTTCAGCATAGTATAACACATTAACAGATTCAATAACTCAACAAGAAATAATCAATACAATAAATGCTTTACCCAACAGTAAAGCATCAAAACCTATACTTATCTCTAATAAAATACTCAAACATGCCTATTCTTATATTACTAAACTTTTATCAATTCTATTTAATTTATGTTTAAATAATGCGAACATTTCTATTGCTTAAAAACAAAGTAAAATATATTTAATATTAAAAAAATCCAATCTTTATAGATTAACTTAATTATATCAGACTATAACACTTCTTGAATATACTTGAAAAATTTTTACAAAAATTATTACTAACTAACTTAACAAAATAATGTTTAAATACTTTATTTTAGATTTATATAACTTTGTAGCTCTATCTTATTTCTCTACAATACAACTTATACAAATCTTTACAAATATACTACAAGAAGTATAAGTACAAAACAAAGAAATATGGCTCTTGGCTTAGAACATGAGCAAAGCATATGATTCAGTACACATTTCACTTCTTTAGCATGTCCTAAATTAAATAAAAATTCTCCACAATACACAACAATTTATAATCAATATATATAATAATTAATTCAATTCTGTTATTACAAACTTTAGTTTTACATCTAGTTATCATATACAAAATAGCATAAATTAAAAAAAAAACAGTTACACTACTTTTTGGCATATATATTATGACTTTCTAATAACTTATATTTATTCTAAATTTCAAAAATACAATATATTAATAACACTTTTATCTAATATACAACATTTAATATATTATATATTAGTACTAGTATATATAGATAATATACTATAGCTAGCTTTAATAAACTTACTCTTTAACAAATTATCAACTTTGCTAAATCCTTCTACAATATAGCCAACATCACAGTTAATACTACAAAATTAATTTTTGCAACAAATCAGATCAAAGCTTTAAACCCAACAATTAACTTTGCTAATACAATTATATATACTATTTCTTTAAAGAATACCTTTTGCTATCTGAACTGCTAGTTTATACTACTTGGCTACTACAAACATATCTGCTAAGGCCACCAATCTTATTAGTATTATAAAAAACAAAAAGATTAAAGAAAACAATCAATTTATATTATCAATATTGTACTTATACCTTGCTTTTTATACAAAACATTAAACATGTTTGTTTACCAATTTAATATCTAAAGCATCACTAACTTATATATGCAAGTTACAAAACACAAAGCTGGACTGGCCTCAACAATACTCAACTTTACTATATTTTATTACCAAATATACAACCTACATAGTCTAACAAACATTTATATACAGAACTATATCTTCTCACTTTACATACAACTAACCAATTTACTAACAGTCTTATCTATTAAAATTCTATTAAAATATCTCTAACAAGTAATATTTTTATCTAACAACATTCTCTAAATTATATACTATCTACTAAATTTTCTAATATACTTATAGTTCAAACTATAAGAACTGCACATCAACTTAAAATCCATATTTAGAACCTTTCTAATCTTTGGCCAATAGCAACTATATACAATAGTACCTCAATTGATATACTAATCAAATATTGCACTAAACCAACACTAATCAAGTTATTAACCAACAAAGCAAACATCTATGCTATTAAACAACTTACTAATTATACAAACATACATCTTCTTTCATAATAGTATATTATATACAAAACACAAAAGATACCAAGAAAAAGAATTTATAAGTAGTTTTAGAAACTTCAATATATGGGCTAGGTGCTATAGAAAAGAGGAAAATTAACAAAAAAAAAGATCTTCAGAAAATCTATTTTTATATTATAAATTTTATAATAAGCTATAAGAAATTATAAATTTTGAAGAGCTATACTGCAAAATTTTATTAATAAAACAACTTTTGTATTTTAAGGAAAAAATGATCTTGATTGTATTTTAAATTAATTTATATAAAAAAATTGATTTTAAAAAATTTGGTGATTTCCTCTTTTTTTATAGCATCTAGTCTATATCTTCTATGCATTTACTACACTATATATTCCTATAATCATCCTAGCACAATTATTACAAACTCTATAGCACTAAAAAGAAGTGCCTGAGTTTTAAGCAAAATTAAAAGTATATTAATTATAGGAAAAATACAAAAAACTTCTAATACAAACAACACAATTTATATAAAATCATTATATAAACTACAATACAAAGCACTACTTGCTAAATACCTTTAATGCAAATATATCTGCATTGTTAATACTAATCTGCAATGCATAATCACATTTACTACATCTCAGTTTATTGTAATTAAAGATTCAGCTTCAAAATCCCCAGAACAAAGATTAATAATCTAATATGGCACTATTATAAACTCAAAACATTATTTTGACACCTATCTACTATCTTAGTTATTCACCAAAACTCACAACCACCTATTATCTTAACTATCCAAAACAATTTATTGCACCAAATAGTTTTATCAAGGACTGCTTATATATAATTATCTTACCTTACTACAATTAACTCTTAGGCCAAAAATCTTCAACTAATAAAGATTCTTGCTACAGATAACAACTCTGATGCAGATTTTACTAAACTACAGATTCTGTTTTCAATAACATTGCTAATGCATTTGAAGCTCCTAACTTTCTTGATCCTATGAAGTTAAAGAATTTCTGAAAATTTTCAAAAAAAATATTGTTTATGAAGTTTCTCTTAATAATTAAGTTATTACAGAACTTGTTAAAACCTTTAAAATGAATAACTCAATAGATACTAACTTGGAAGATGCCAATAATAGCCTTGAAGTTCTTTTTGTTAGTGCCAACATGACAACTGTAAGTTTGAAAACTGTGCTTATGTTTTTGCTTCAGCAGAATGATATAGAAACATATATTAATCTTATAGGAAAAATTGAAAAATTTATTAAAAAAACAAAGTTGGCCACATGTAACAGAGTAAAATTGATCAATTTTTTATAGAAAAAAATTAAATAAATCATCTTAAATGTCTTTGGCAATGAGTTATAATTACTGTATTAAGGATTTTGACTTATAAAAAAAAAATTCTAAACTTATAAATTTTAATTTTTTTTTTTTTTTTCTTAAATTTTTTTTCACCTGTAGATAATTATTTACTAATCTAGATAGCTAATAAAACATATATACAATATATATGTATACATTAAAGTTAACAATATATACTGTTATTTGCTATAAATTTTCTTTTATATTTGAAGTTAGATTAGAGAGAATAGTACTGTTTTGCATATAATTATCTTATATCTTATACAAAATAAAACTTTAAAAATGTTTTATAAAGTCATCTTGCACTTAGCACAAATTATATATATATGTGTATTAATATAAGTTGTAGAAAAATCCTTTATTATTATTGGCCAACTTTGAAATTAGTTATGTGCATGCATTTAAAAAAGTATATATATATGCTTAACTTCAGAAACTTGTGCATATGCAAAATATAAAGAATGTCTAAGTTTTGACCATGGGCCATGCTATAATGTTATATAGGAAGAGTATATACTTAGGGAGTGTGCACTTAGAGAAATGTGAATATATAAACAGAAAGGTGCAAATAGTATATTAAAACAGCCTACTAACAAATATACTAACAATTACAACTCTGGAACATCCAGTTATAGACAAAGCAGCTGCAACAAAATATAAAAAATAGGCAACTATTTTTTTATTACTAACATATTTACATCTTACATTGCAATACTAAATCTAGAAGAGTCTTGACAACCAAATTATCATTGGCAAAGCTAGAAGACAGCCTTCACCATCTGGAACTGTTCTTATAACTCATTGGC